ATCCACCCACCTCAGCCTCCCAAAGTGCTGGGATTATAGGGGTGAGCCACCACACCCGGCCATCTGTTTCAATTTAAATGTCTCCCCCCACATACATGAAGCTTATTGGAAAGCACTTTAAACCTGAGGCAGCAAACTGGCTTTATTACCAGTATACACATTATGTAAGGTAAAAATTAGCCATATTATTTTAAAATTAAAAATGCATATTTTGATCTAAATGGATACTAGGCCAGATGCAGTGGCTCATGACTGTATCCCAACACTTTGGGAGGCCAAGGCAGGAGGATTGCTTGAGCCCAGGAGTTCAAGACTGCAGAGAAGCTATGATTGCACCACTGCACTCCAGCCTGGGTAACAGGGTGAGATTGTCTTTAAAAAAATAAAAAACATAAGAAACATAAAATGAATACTAAAAAAGATACAATAATAATTAGCTTTATTTTAAAAGGATAATAATTATTATGGTAATTACCGTAGTACCAACCACCATTACTATTACTATATTAGCATATAATAACCCTTTGTATATATAAGCGCAACACATAATAGGTGCTTAATAAGTACAGAAGAAAAAGAAAAGCAATTCTCTCTTTGAGGCCCAGGGTTCATTAAGCATCATCTCTTACCAATAAATCCCTTTTCTATTTAACTTACCCTCCTGAGCTGTATAGATGAGAAAGGCAAAGGAAACTACCTCTTTTTACATGCACCTTGGTTGGTGGGGTGTGTGTGTGTATGTAGAGAGATAGAGAGCCTTATCACAAGGAAGAAAAAGTGTCCTGGAAGTCTAGATAAGAAGGATGTGGCACAGATAATGGACTTCGGGTGGGTTTTTGGGTCCTACTCTACATGAAAATGCCATAGGCCTGCACTGTTTCTGTCACATGTTACCAGTCAGAGCGAAATGAATTGCATGATCCTAACCTGCTAGTTAACTTTGTTGATCCATTACTTCCCTTCTCTGGTTAGGGGCCTGTTTCCAGCTCCCTGTTCTGGTCATTTCTCTCCGGGGTAGGAAGCACTTTGCCGAAGGAGTGTTTCAAGCCTGCAGGCTGACAGCTGCCTGGACAGCTGTGCTCCCTGAAGCAGAACCCTAGCTGCATCCCCAGCCGTGCAAACCAGAAACAAGTGGGTTAAAAATAAGCCTGACCAAGTCATTTTGCCATCACTGATGAGCGCCACAGATACTCTCCTCTTCAATGATGATATTAATCACTCTTTCGTCCTGTTGAATTTCATCTTGTCTCCTTTTCTGTCTTTCTCTGAATTTCAACTGCTGAGTTTACCTTTGCTTTGCATTTTACTTTGAACAAGTATTTCCAATGGACCCTTCACAAGGACCTATACCTCAGACTTGTTTTCAAAATCTCAGTGTAAACTGAGGAGACATTTGATATTGTTTGCCCTCAAGAAAATTTTCTGAAGGATATTAAGTCCTCCATTAAAAATCTTTATTCTGTATATTGAATGTGATGGCTCATGTCTGTAATTCCAACACTTTAGGAGGCCCAGGCAGGAGGATTGCTTGAGGCCAGGACTTAGAGACCAGCCTGGGCTGGTCTAAGACCCCGTCTCTACAAAAAAATATATTTTTAAAAAATCTTAATTATGTAATGCACGTTCTTTATAAAGGAATTAAATTGAAGTAAAGTATAAGGATTAGGCATTATTCTCATACATTCATAGTAATCATAAAGGTAGGAATCGAGTAAGTTCTATGATATTAACTGATCAAAAACTGCAAATAAAAACATTGTGAGGACCTTAACCAAATTCACACCTGAGAGGTAAGTTAAGCTATGTCTGAGCAAATGGAAAGATTAGTTAATAGTAAAAGTGCCATTAACTGCCTAACAATAGTCCTTTAACATTAAATAACTTGCTTGAATGAATTTTTCTCCTTGTAATGGACATAATCAAAGTGACTTTCAAGCAATTAATTTAAAATGTTTGGCATTTCTAAAATTACAAATTGTCTTACTATAGCTAAATTATTTCAGTAACATCTCCCTAGGAAAGTGTGTCTTCAAGTTGTTTTATTGTTGAATATGTACAAAATTATTATGAAAATTGACACTACCATTTTTAGTCCAGTACTGCTATTACCTTTTCATGATTTGAGTCTCTAAAGATTTGCTATGTTCGTATTATTACCATAAATTAGTTTCAACCATGGTACAAATCTCAGGACGAATCAGTACACTGTACACACTACTTCTTCTGCCACATGAAAAAGAGAGAAATCGAGAGAAGTCTGAAACAGAAAGAATTGGCTGACAGCATATAAGATCTGAATAGAACAAAAGGAGACAGATCAAAAATATATATATGCATATTGATCAAGCTGATCTTATCAGTCAGACAGTTATATGAGAGAAAGGGATAGCTACCAGTCTCATTACTCAGATTTGCTCTGAGAAGAAGGCCAGTGCAATCACCCATGAGGAGACTGCCTCTTTACCTGTCCATAGCCGTGTCCAGAGTGTCTTTCTTGGCTCCCTGAAAGTCTCAGGCCAGAAAAATCTTGCTTCAATTAATGATGGTTCTCTGCCTCAGTCTGACAGTGCATTGGCCCTTCACATTCAAATTTGAGCTTGCCCTTTTGGGCTCCTCCCCTGACAGCATCACCCCCACCAGGTACCCCAACGGCCTTGCTCCTGATTTGGATCCAGTGAAGATGGGTGGGTGGGGCTGTCATAGGCAGAGTCACACAGGTTAAACGATTGAGGGCAGCTCTGCTTAATGTTTAGGTTCCTTTAGGGCTGCTGCTCTGAAAGTCCAGTCCATGCTCCATAGCTAGCAAAGATCAAGAGGCAGTAGCAGCAGACACTTAAATTGTAATCATGATAACACAAAATAAAAGCACAATGATAATAGTAATATTTATGTAAATACCTTAAAGAGCATTTAAATAGCTTCTTGTGTTGTTGTGTTAAAGAGCACTTAAAAAGCCTCTATTCCCCCATAGTCTCACACTATCTCTGAACTCAGTAGAGACAGCCACTAACAGTTCCTGCTTTGCAGTTAAGCAAATGAACTCAGTTATACAGAATTTAGAACACAAAAATTTTCCCTCCCAAACCATGGATTTTTTTCTTTCTGATTGCATTACAAGAATTGCTTGAAGACTAGATATTTACACCAAAGAATGATTTTTGCATGAGCCATCTTTTTTAGAAAAAAAAAAAAAATCCTTAATTTGGAGTCGGAAGCAGCAGCAGTCCCCCAAAATACAAAAATGCTTATTTCACCAGACAGAATCAGTGTCTAATTGACTACACTGAATTTGGAAAACAGGCTAAGATCTTCAAATAAAAGACTTTAATTTTGTGCTCGCATAGAACTTGGTCTATTAAAGATTTTCTTTCTCTCTCCTACTGTAGCCCATATGCATTCTATTTATTCACTGAGTAGACACTTAATGGCTACTGTGTGATGGAAACTATGCCAAGTGCTAGGGATGCAATGGTAAGCAATGCAGCTAGGATCTCTGCCTCAAGGCTTTGATACCATCTATACCTTGATGATTTTCAAATCAATAGCGCTAGCTTGGACCATGTATTTGTCTGTTCCCACACTGCTGATAAAGACATGCCTGAGACTGGGGAATGTATAAAGGAAAGAGGTTTAATTGACTCACAGTTCCACATGGCTGGGGAGGCCTCACAATCATGGCAGAAAAGCAAGGGACATCTTACATGGTGGCAGGCAAGAGAGAGCTCATGCAGGGGAACTCCCTTTATAAAACCATCAGCTCTTGTGAGCCGTGTTCACTATCACAAGAACAACATGGGAAAGACCCACCCCCGTGATTTGTCTGCCTCCTACTGGGTCCCTCCCATGACAAGTGGGAATTGTGGGAACTACAATTCAGGATGAGATTTGGGTGGTGACACAGCCAAATCTATCAGACTGCTTCCTTCAACTCAAGACAAGGGTGTCCAGCTTTCCTCTCAGAATCTCCATTTGGATGGCTGAGCACCTCCAGCCTGTCTAAAACAGAACCCCTCGTCTCTGCCTTACCTGCACTTCTTGCCATCTTTCCCATCTCAATTAACAGCAGTATTCTTCCAATTGCTTGGCAAAACCTGGGCAGAGTGTCTCTCAACTCCCCTCTTTCTTTTAAATCCCATGCACACTCCATTAGCAAATCCTGTTATCTCTGCCACCAGAATATATTCACAAACTGATCACTTCTCACCACCACCTCCAGGTCCAAGCAAACTGGATTATTACGTTTTGCCTCCCAACTGGCTTTTCTGCCTTCCCCTTCTTCGATTATAGTCTGATCTCCACACAGCAACTAGAGTATTCATTCTGGAACATTTAAGGTCATGTCACTCCCCTGTCATAACCCTCCATGGCTTCCCATTCTCTCAATACAGGCCAGCAGCCTGAGATGGCCCACAAGCCCCGCTATCATCTGCTCTGCTTCCTCCCTCTGGCTGCAGGTGCCTCCACTTTCTCCCTTGCTCACACAAAGAGCACACACTCCTTCCTCTGCCCTTGAGGGTCTCTCTGCTGAAAAGTTATTTTTGTGTGTATGGTTGTGGCTTACACTGTCATGTATTTTACATCCTTATTCAAATACTCTCTGGTATTTGAGATTTGTCCTAGTCACCATATCTAAAATATCAACCAGATCTCACCATTCTGACACTCCCTTGCCCACATCCTCTAAATTATTTTTCTCTTTAGTACTTATCACTTAAAATACACTCCTCAGTAAACTAAAGACAAGTAAAATAATCTGTTTAAATTATTTTTTAATTAGCCATGAGATTCGAAATAATTAATTATAATTATTTCTAATAATTATATAATTATAATCATTACTATTTTGAGGCAGAGTCTCTCTGTGTCACCCAGGCTGGAATACAGTGGCGTGAACACGGCTTACTGCAGGCCTTGACCTCCTGGGCTCAAGTGACACTTCTGCCTCAGCCTCCCGAGGAGCTGAGACTACAGGCATGTGCCACCACACTCAGCTCATTTTTGTATTTTTCTTTAGAGATAGGGCCTTTCCATGTTGATCGGGCTGGTCTTGAACTCCTGGGCTCAAGTGATCTGCCCACCTCAGTCTTCCAAAGTGCTGGGATTACAGGTGTGAGCCACTGCACCTGGCCTTGTCTAAATTACTATTGCTGAAAAAATTCCTCAGGGCACCAGCAAAGATAGTAGACGGTAGTTGCCTTTGGCACTCTCAGTTCTATAGGACAGTTGATCAAGGAGCAGAATGGAGACTCCAAATTCATCTGCAGTGTCCACTGGAAGGTGCAGGCGTTTGAAATCAGATC